AACAGGATGGTGAGCATGATGGTGAACAGGATGGTAAACAGGGTGGTGAGCATTATAGTGAGTATAATGGTAAACAGGGTGGTGAGCATGATGGTGAGTATGATGGTGAACAGGATGGTGAGCATGATGGTGAGTATGATGGTGAACAGGATGGTAAACAGGGTGGTGAGCATGATGGTGAGTATGATGGTGATCAGGGTGGTAAACAGGGTGGTGAGCATGATGGTGAGTATGATGGTGAACAGGATGGTAAACAGGGTGGTGAGCATGATGGTGAACATGATGGTGATCAGGGTGGTAAATATGATGGTGAACTCTGAACGTTTCCGCTTTATTCAGGATGAAATCAGGGGAAGCCTTGCAGCTACCAGTCACCGCCGCTGGGGGCGCTAATCCCACCAAGCGCTGCGTCGCACCAGAAGAAGATCGACCGGAAGTGATGCAATGAGCGCGCGGCGAGCGATCGGATGAGGATCAAAGGGGATGAAACGAACTTCTAGGTGATTTTCTGCAACATCTGAGAGAGAAAGCAGCTGCAGCGTCACTTCCTGCCTCAGCCTCATGGCGGCGCCCCTCCCCCAGCAGCAGCAGCCCCCCCCCGGGCCGCTCCGGGAGATCTCCCCGGTCTTCCTCTGCAGGATCGGACAGGAGACCGTGCAGGACATCGTCACGCGCACCATGGAGATCTTCCAGATCACGCGCGCCACGCAGGTAAGCTGGTGATGCAGACCCACGGCTGCTCCTCAGGGAGGAGCTGAGGAGGTTCCTGCAGGAGCGTGTGGTCCCGAAGCTTCTCCTCCTCTCTGTCTGTCTGTCTGTCTGCGCTGCAGCTTCCTAACGGAGTGACGCAGAGCCACGTCATGTACCAGGACCGCTTCGGGAAGCTGCAGGAACATCTGCGGCAGCTGGCGCTGCTCTTCCGGAAGCTGCGGCTGCTCTATGAGCGCTGCGTGGAGATGACCTCTGACCTGCAGGAGGCGCCCATGGAGGTGAGGCTGCAGCTGGATCCGGGTTCTCCTGGGTTCCTCCTGCAGGACTCATGTTCTGTGTTCTGTGTCCTCAGCTGGTCCCCTACGCTGGAGAGGAGCCCGCTTCCATCCGAGCAGAACCCTGCAGCCCGGCCGTCATCCAGGAGCGGCAGGAGGTTCTGGAGGTGAGGGTTCTCCTGCCAACGGTTCCGCTCCAGTCCACTTCTAAATGGGCTTAGAGACCCAACATGACCCAGAAAAGTTCTGGTTCTGATCCAGACTGAAGGAATCTTTGCCTGCAGTTCAGGAATCCAGAACCAAGCGGATCAGAACCAGAAGCTATGAGTGCAGAACTGTTCTGTTAGGGGACCTGCATCAGGCTTCGGTTCTGGAGGTCAGAGGTGAGAATGATCCGGTACCGGATCCAGACTGGATCCGGTACCGGATCAACAAGCAGAAACAGGATCTTTGGATCCTGTGGAACCCACAGAACTTCAGTTCTACCAACTGGTCCCAGAACCAGGGAGAAGTTCTGAAGGAGCGGGCTCAGCTCCAGCAGCTGGTTCTCCTGGTGATGAGGGACCAATGATCCGGATCTTTCTTCACATCCCAGGAATGAGCTGTAGCTCCTCACAGCCGCCTGTAGGGGGCAGCAGCGCCTCACTGCATCCTCATGCTTCAGGGACCTACAGAACAGGGCGGTCCGTGGATCCAGTTCCGTGGGTCCGGCCCCGGGGATCCCGTCCAGTGGGTCAGGCTCCGGGGGTCCGGTCTCGTAGGTCTGGTCCGGTCCAGCGGGTCCGGTCCAGCGGGTCCGGTCCAGTGGGTCCGGTTCTGGGGTCCGGTCCAGTGTGTCCAGCTCCGTGGGTCCGGTCCAGTGGGTCCGGTTCTGGGGTCCGGTCCAGTGTGTCCAGCTCCGTGGGTCCGGTCCAGCGGGTCCGGTCCAGCGGGTGTGGTTCTGGGGATCAGGTCCAGCGGGTCCGGTCCAGCGGGTCCGGTCCAGTGGGTGTGGTTCTGGGGGTCCGGTCCAGTGTGTCCAGCTCCGTGGGTCCGGTCCAGTGGGTCCGGTTCTGGGGTCCGGTCCAGTGTGTCCAGCTCCGTGGGTCCGGTCCAGTGGGTCCGGTTCTGGGGATCAGGTCCAGTGGGTCCGGTCCAGCGGGTCCGGTCCAGTGGGTGTGGTTCTGGGGATCAGGTCCAGCGGGTCCGGTCCAGCGGGTCCGGTCCAGCGGGTCCGGTCCAGTGGGTGTGGTTCTGGGGGTCCGGTCCAGTGTGTCCAGCTCCGTGGGTCCGGTCCAGTGGGTCCGGTTCTGGGGATCAGGTCCAGCGGGTCCGGTCCAGTGGGTCCGGTTCTGGGGTCTCCAGCTGCTTGGTTCCTGCTCCTGATGCTCAGCTTTGTCTCCTGCAGAAGGTCCGTCAGAAGAACCAGGAGATGAAGGTTCTGATGGACCAGATGAGGAACCTGCTGTGGGACGTCAACGCCATGCTGACGCTGAAGAAGTGACACTGATGAGGAAGACCAGCACCCTCCTCTTCCTCTGCTGACTGATGCTGTGGGGGGCGGGGTCTCTGTTCTCTGATGTTTTTGGTAACTGACATGTTTTTGTATGAAATAAACAGTTTTTTAGTAAAATGGAGTCTTTGATGATGTCAGCTTCATGTTCACCTCAAACCCAGAAGGTCTCCCAGGTTCTCAGCTCCTCCTCCTGCCTGATGGAGGAGTGACGGAGCTCCTCCTCCTGCCTGATGGAGGAGTGACGGAGCTCCTCCTCCTGCCTGATGGAGGAGTGACGGAGCTCCTCCTCCTGCCTGATGATTCCTCCTCCCGTGGGAGAAGGGAGGCGTTTGGACCCCCACCCTAGCGAGGACAGAGTAGTGGACCTCTGTCCTCCATGAGATGTTTGTTTATTTATGGTTCTATTCTAGAGGAAAGGAAACAAACTAAAGGTTTTTCCAAAATGTAGAAATAATTTGGTTTTCTAACCACAGGCATCATTTTTTATTTTTCTTTGAAAAATATTTCCTTGGAAAATAATGAAATCAAATTGATTCCTGGTGGGAAAGTAAGTTCTTTATAAAAAATACAAATTGTTTTTTAGTCTTTTAAAAAGAAAAAAAATGAATTATAAAAAAACAAAAACATTTTCATTTTCACGGAGGGGAAATGGAGCTCCTGTTTGATCCGATTGGTCAGATCTGAAGGGACTCGTTGACCTTAGGGGACTCGTTAAGCTAACATTTTTGATTGATGGACTAGAGCTATTCTTCTAGATCAGGATTAGAACAGAAGCTGCAAACGGTTTTAGGACACCAGCTGTTTTTATCATAAGCTGATCTTAGAACATTTAGTTTTTAGGACCCTGAAGGAACCATGGTGAGAAAGCAGAACCCAGTGATGAAACCATGTAGAACACCTTGAAGAACCTTTGGAGAACCGTAGCAGAACTCAATGACAATCCTGCAAGGAAAGATGTAAACTTTAGGAAAACTATGGAAGTATGGAAATACTTTAGGAACCCTGAAGAAGGAGCCTTTTAGAACCCTGTAGTTCTATGAGAACGCCATAGGAATAGTTCTAGAACCCTGTTAGAACCCGCCGGGAATAAGGAGCCCCGTTAGAGGAGCCCCGTTAGAACTAACTAGGAATAAGGAACCCTGTTAGAACCCGTGGGGAATAAGGAACCCCGTTAGAACCCGTGGGGAATAAGGAACCCTGTTAGAACCCACTGGGAATAAGGAACCCTGTTAGAACCCGTGGGGAATAAGGAACCCCGTTAGAACCCACTGGGAATAAGGAACCCTGTTAGAACCCGCCGGGAATAAGGAACCCCGTTAGAGGAGCCCCGTTAGAACTAACTAGGAATAAGGAACCCCGTTAGAACCCACTGGGAATAAGGAACCCTGTTAGAACCCACTGGGAATAAGGAACCCTGTTAGAACCCGCCGGGAATAAGGAACCCCGTTAGAACCCACTGGGAATAAGGAACCCTGTTAGAACCCGCCGGGAATAAGGAACCCCGTTAGAACCCACTGGGAATAAGGAACCCTGTTAGAACCCACTGGGAATAAGGAACCCTGTTAGAACCCGCCGGGAATAAGGAACCCCGTTAGAACCCACTGGGAATAAGGAACCCTGTTAGAACCCGCCGGGAATAAGGAACCCCGTTAGAACCCACTGGGAATAAGGAACCCCGTTAGAACCCGCCAGGAATAAGGAACCCCGTTAGAACCCACTGGGAATAAGGAACCCCGTTAGAACCCACTGGGAATAAGGAACCCCGTTAGAACCCACTGGGAATAAGGAACCCCGTTAGAACCCACTGGGAATAAGGAACCCTGTTAGAACCCGCCAGGAATAAGGAACCCCGTTAGAACCCACTGGGAATAAGGAACCCTGTTAGAACCCGCCAGGAATAAGGAACCCTGTTAGAACCCGCCGGGAATAAGGAACCCCGTTAGAACCCACTGGGAATAAGGAACCCTGTTAGAACCCGTGGGGAATAAGGAACCCCGTTAGAACCCACTGGGAATAAGGAACCCTGTTAGAACTCACTGGGAATAAGGAACCCTGTTAGAACCCGCCGGGAATAAGGAACCCCGTTAGAACCCACTGGGAATAAGGAACCCCGTTAGAACCCACTGGGAATAAGGAACCCTGTTAGAACCCGCCGGGAATAAGGAACCCCGTTAGAACCCACTGGGAATAAGGAACCCTGTTAGAACCCGCCGGGAATAAGGAACCCCTTTAGAACCCGTGGGGAATAAGGAGCCCCGTTAGAACTAACTGGGAATAAGGAACCCCGTTAGAACCAACTGGGAATAAGGAACCCTGTGGAAACCTGGTTGTTGCCATCATCTCCATTTTCTCTCCGGTTCTGCTGTGTTCCCGATCAGACTTCAGGCTCCAGCTGGTTCCACGGACTCCGCCTGTGAAGTCGGAGCTGAGGGATGTAGAACCTCTCCAGAACCAGTGTGACGTGAAGCCGAGATATTCTGGTACCTCTAATGGAACAGAAGCAAGGAACCAGAACCAGGTTGGATCGCCGGGCCGATCAGGAACCTCTTTATTGTTTTGACATATTTTACTGAAACAATCTGTTTAAGATCAGCGGTTCTGGTTGGGTTCTACCAACAGAACCAGTGACGGTTCCTCAGGCGTTCTTTCTGCAGCGGTGACACTGTCCTTTGGAGTCCATTTCCCTCTGAGACCCGGTCCTGCCAGAAGCATCCAGAACCAGGGGATCGGGCCAGAGAGGTCCCCCCTGTGGCGGCTCCTGGCGCTACGCCCGCTCCAGGTCTTTGTACCGCTTCCGGAAGACGGACACCTGGTCCTTGAAGAGAACCGGGTCGAGGCGCAGCTGGGAGTGGACTAGCGGCATGTAGCCGAACCAGCTGGCGAAGGCGTTGACGCAGTCCTGCCGCTGGGCGAAGTGCTCCGGGTGGGCCCAGGGGGCGCTGTTCACGCCCTGCCAGGGAGACGGACATTTAGGGAGAACCAGAACCTGAACAGACAGCAGCCGGCGCTGGAGGTTCTGGACGTACCTGTGGGGGCAGAACCTCCTTGTACTGCTTCCTTTGGGCCACCTTGACTGGCGGTAGGTGGGTGGCGGCAGACACCAGGAAGTTCATCAGGATGTCCTCGCAGTTGGCGGTTCGGTCTACCAGCGCCCGCAGCGACTGCGGCAGGAAGTGGGAGAACAGGAAGTTGTAGTACCTGCAGGAACATCAGCACAGCGTCAGCGGGTCCATCAGAACCACTTTCTCTCTAAACCTGACCCCACATGTCAGAACCAGCTCTAAAGGTTCTGTGGTTCCGACCAGATTCTGGAAGCTCCAGCTGTGACGGAGAACCAGTTTGATTTCTAACTGGACTAAAATAACCCCAGAGGTCCGGTTGGGACCAACGGTCTGGGAGCGGTTCTGATGGATCGGCTGCTGTTGGACCTGTGGTAGAAGGCGGCGCCCGTCAGGACCATGGAGTACTCGTTGGTCCATTTGGAGGTGTAGCCCCAGGCCTGCTTCAGCGGGTCCCAGAAGTGGCTCCGGGGAGGATAGCCCACGATCCGGTCCGGGAAGCTCCTCCACACCAGGAAGGCGAAGTTCACCTGCAGAGCAGAACACGGGTCGGTTCTGGTTCCGAGCGAGCGGGTCCACCTGTGGTCCTCACGTACCTCGCTGGTCAGCAGCACCGTGTCCTCGTCCAGGCTAAGCACCGCCTCCGTCTCTATGGCGACGTGAGGCAGGAAGCGGCTGGTGGTCTGCAAGGAGAGCGGCGGGTCAGGGAGCTGACACTCAAACAGGAAGTGATGTCACAGCCGGCGGCTCTCACCTTCCTCCTGCCCTCCGTCACGATGAGAGGGACGGGCATGGGGGGCCACTTGCTGCGGCTGGGGGGGGGCTTCTCGCAGTTCCACAGGATGATGATCTGGAACAGAACCGTGTGTTAAACGGACCGGAACCAGAACCGGAACCTTTCCTGGACCGGATCACAGGCTGCAGCTTCGCTTTGGACCCAACAGAACCGGCACACAGAATGTTCTGGTTCTGGCCGGTTAAACCTGCTACAGAACAGAACCACGTTCAGAGGCTCGGAACCCGGAGGTCCGGTTCTTTACCTGTGAGCAGTACTTGGACTTGGAGACGACCTGAAGCAGCTTCATGATTGGCTGTGACTGGGAGACCAATGGCGAGACGGCGTGGATGACGGCGGTGAACTCGTGACCAGAACTGATCCCTGGAACAGAGCAGAACCGATTCAGAACCGGGTCAGACGGAACCATGCTGTCAGAATGAACGCCTGGAGGAGAACTACAGGTTCTAATGAGACGCGGATCAGAACCGGCCGCTGGCGGCGGGTGGAGGCGCCTACCGAGGCCCAGGTGGTAGAAGGGGAAGTGGGCCAGGTGGGTGGAGAACTCTGGCAGAACCAGCAGACCTCCTGGCAGCGAGTTCCACATGTACTTGTTCCTGGAGATGTGAGAGAAGATCCGGTCCTTGATGATCTGAACACAGAGAGGAGAGGAACATCAGTCAGCAGCTGGATTCCAATTCAGACGGCGGCCCCCCCCCACGGCCTGAAGGTCGCCTACATCAGCACGTCACCATGGCGACGTCCTGTGACCTGCAGCAGGAGCATCCAGAACCTCTGACCTGCTCCCCTTTGGTTCTGGTTCCTCCTGCAGCGCGCTGACTGAGCCAGCAGATGGAGATATGTTTCTAAACGGTTACCATGCCAACGGTGACACCAAAGAGGAGGAGGTCAGGAGGGACGGAGACGCAGAGCAGCTCCTTCTGACCAACGACAGGACAGAAGGAGAGCAGGCGAGGCCGCCACCTACTGGCTGCAGGTGCTCAGTCCTCCAGAGCTGCTCCATCCCATCATGAACACACCTGAATGAGGGGGTGGAGCCTTTAGCTCAGGTGTGTTAGAGCTGCATCACAGGATGGATGCAGGCCTGGATACCAGAGACCTGGAGCTGGAAGGTTCCACCACCTTTCAGCCTCTTCCTCAAGCCGCTGCTGCATCCGTCCGCTTTATTTCTGGGACACAAATCTTTCTTTCTAGAATTTCTTATTGGATCTTTAGACCTCATACTGGTTTTCACCCAAACTGGGAACCAGTAGCCTTCATTAAAGCCAACAGAACCAGCCTGGAGGCTCTCTGGGTTCCAGGCTGACCTCCAGTGTGGTGAGGACAATCTTGTCCACAGAGGAAAAGTAGGCGTCCCATAACATCTGTGTCCTCTGACGGAGCTCCAGGACCCGCTGGTTTGGTACCGCCCGCACCGTGGATGGCACCTGGGGACAGAAGAAGAAGAGGACAGTCCGATGAGTGAGGCTCTGTGTGGACAGAGGACAGCAGAGGACAGCAGAGGACAGAGCAGCTTCTCCTGCTGTGGGAGGGGCCAATCAGACTCTGGAAACGTTTTTCTGGTTTGGATCCGTTTCCTGTTCGTTGATCAGAGCTACTTTATGATTCTGTTTGATCAGAACCGGTTAGAAACCTGCTTTCTGTCCGACCGTGAGAATAGTTTTTATTTTCTGACCAATGAGCTCGTCTCTCTGCTGTCCTGCTGACCGTGGCCCCTGGGAGCCGCTGCTATAGATACCAGGGGCCGCTCTGCATGTTGGTTATGATGGAGATTATCATCACTTCTCTTTTTATCCAAATCGATGCATAAAGGGAAATAATTTTTTTTTTTTTGTTTTATTGCTCCTTTTATTTCGGTGCAGCTTTCAGACGTGATTCATGTCTGGATCCGTCTGATCCTAAAGAATAATCATCAGCCTGAAAAAGGTTTGTTTCATTATTTAAAGTTATTTTTTATTTTTGAATCATATATTAAATAAATAAATGAATGTTAAATTTACTCATTTTATTGTAAATGTATTTATTTGGTGTTCAGTCAGGAGGATAAAGGCCTGAGGACAGCAGAACCAAACACTTCATGGTTCTGCAGGTGTTCTGCAGGTGTTCTGCAGGTGTTCTGCAGGTGTTCTGCAGGTGTTCTGCAGGTGTTCTGCTGAGCATGCAGAGGCGGGACCCTCAGAGCGCTGCAGGTGTGTTTACCTGCAGCAGTAACCTCTCGTCTCCCTCCACGACGGCCTGGTTCCACTGGATGACATCAGAGAAGGGCAGCTCCCAGCCGTTACTCAGCAGGACAGGGATGCACGCCGCCTGGACGCACAGCGGAGCAGAAACAGGTGGGGGAGGGTCAGATCATCTGCTGAATGCAGGTGAAGCTAAAGATGGATCTGCTAATAAGGACGGCTGCTTCATTCAGGATGGATGAAGGATCCTCTGATGGAAATAATTCCTGTTTCTCATGTCAGACCTGGAAACAGTCGCTGCTCATCATTTACTGAGACATGATCTTCATCCATGGCTCAGAGAGAGGACAGAGGACAGGGGATGGAGGACAGAGGACAGAGGTCTGTCCAGCCTGCTCACACTCTGAGTATTTATAAAACTCAAACTGTATGTTTGGACTCTGTTCGGAGTCTGAAGGAACAAACCTGAATACATAAAGTACGAGGTCAGATCCTAACGAGGGCCGGCCTTGGCGAGGTCGGGTCCTAACGAGGGCCGGCCTTGACGAGGTCAGATCCTAACGAGGGCCGGCCTTGGCGAGGTCGGGTCCTAACGAGGGCCGGCCTTGACGAGGTCGGGTCCTAACGAGGGCCGGCCTTGACGAGGTCGGGTCCTAACGAGGGCCGGCCTTGGCGAGGTCGGGTCCTAACGAGGGCCGGCCTTGACGAGGTCAGATCCTAACGAGGGCCGGCCTTGACGAGGTCGGGTCCTAACGAGGGCCGGCCTTGACGAGGTCAGATCCTAACGAGGGCCGGCCTTGGCGAGGTCGGGTCCTAACGAGGGCCGGCCTTGACGAGGTCAGATCCTAACGAGGGCCGGCCTTGACGAGGTCGGGTCCTAACGAGGGCCGGCCTTGACGAGGTCAGATCCTAACGAGGGCCGGCCTTGACGAGGTCGGGTCCTAACGAGGGCCGGCCTTGACGAGGTCAGATCCTAACGAGGGCCGGCCTTGGCGAGGTCGGGTCCTAACGAGGGCCGGCCTTGACGAGGTCAGATCCTAACGAGGGCCGGCCTTGGCGAGGTCGGGTCCTAACGAGGGCCGGCCTTGACGAGGTCAGATCCTAACGAGGGCCGGCCTTGACGCGGTCGGGTCCTACCGCGGGCCGGCCTTGACGAGGTCAGATCCTAACGAGGGCCGGCCTTGACGAGGTCGGGTCCTAACGAGGGCCGGCCTTGACGAGGTCAGATCCTAACGAGGGCCGGCCTTGGCGAGGTCGGGTCCTAACGAGGGCCGGCCTTGACGAGGTCGGGTCCTAACGAGGGCCGGCCTTGACGAGGTCAGATCCTAACGAGGGCCGGCCTTGGCGAGGTCGGGTCCTAACGAGGGCCGGCCTTGACGAGGTCGGGTCCTAACGAGGGCCGGCCTTGACGAGGTCGGGTCCTAACGAGGGCCGGCCTTGACGAGGTCAGATCCTAACGAGGGCCGGCCTTGACGAGGTCGGGTCCTAACGAGGGCCGGCCTTGACGAGGTCAGATCCTAACGAGGGCCGGCCTTGGCGAGGTCGGGTCCTAACGAGGGCCGGCCTTGACGAGGTCGGGTCCTAACGAGGGCCGGCCTTGACGAGGTCGGGTCCTAACGAGGGCCGGCCTTGACGAGGTCAGATCCTAACGAGGGCCGGCCTTGACGAGGTCGGGTCCTAACGAGGGCCGGCCTTGACGAGGTCGGGTCCTAACGAGGGCCGGCCTTGACGAGGTCAGATCCTAACGAGGGCCGGCCTTGGCGAGGTCGGGTCCTAACGAGGGCCGGCCTTGACGAGGTCGGGTCCTAACGAGGGCGGGCCTTCACGAGGTCAGATCCTAACGAGGGCCGGCCTTGGCGAGGTCGGGTCCTAACGAGGGCCGGCCTTGACGAGGTCGGGTCCTAACGAGGGCGGGCCTTGACGAGGTCGGGTCCTAACGAGGGCCGGCCTTGACGAGGTCGGGTCCTAACGAGGGCGGGCCTTGACGAGGTCGGATCCTAACGAGGGCCGGCCTTGACGAGGTCGGGTCCTAACGAGGGCCGGCCTTGACGAGGTCGGGTCCTAACGAGGGCGGGCCTTGACGAGGTCGGGTCTTAACGAGGGCCGGCCTTGACGAGGTCGGGTCCTAACGAGGGCCGGCCTTGACGAGGTCGGGTCCTAACGAGGGCCGGCCTTGACGAGGTCGGGTCCTAACGAGGGCCGGCCTTGACGAGGTCGGGTCCTAACGAGGGCCGGCCTTGACGAGGTCGGGTCCTAACGAGGGCCGGCCTTGACGAGGTCGGGTCCTAACGAGGGCCGGCCTTGACGAGGTCGGGTCCTAACGAGGGCCGGCCTTCACGAGGTCGGGTCCTAACGAGGGCCGGCCTTGACGAGGTCGGGTCCTAACGAGGGCCGGCCTTCACGAGGTCGGGTCCTAACGAGGGCCGGCCTTGACGAGGTCGGGTCCTAACGAGGGCCGGCCTTGACGAGGTCGGGTCCTAACGAGGGCCGGCCTTGACGAGGTCGGGTCCTAACGAGGTGGACTTGGCCTCAGTCTGATACCTGGACTATCTCCAGGTCAGTTAGAGCAGAGACACTCGGTCCACTGTGGACACCTGGACATGTCCTGCAGACCAAGCCGAGCAGAACAGCTAGTGTTCCTAATGGATGCAGCAGGGGGCAGCAGAGAGCCAGCAGATCAGGATCCTCCACCTGATGGAACCAGCATCTGCATGGAGTTAATGGACCCATCCGGGCTGAGAGTGGACCCTGACCCAGTTAGAGCCGCTTTCAGAACCACAGAGCTCAGCAGGACAGGAAACACTCAGATGGATCAATATGGAGAGGAAGGTTCTGGAGCCTCGTTAGCGGCGCCGCTTCCTGCTGAGTGGGAGGGGTCTCCTCTGAGGGACGGAGCTGCTGATGCTGCAGGAGGCTCTGATCTAATTAGACCTCCAGGACAGGAAATGGATCCATTGATCCTCCAAACAGCTTCTCTTTGGGACCCAGAATGATTTAGCGACTCTGTTCTGTTTCCAGTCTGTCCATCAGCAGGAACGTCCTAAAGATTCACTCCAGATTATCTCATTTAGGAATAATAATCTGCAGCCCTGAGGCAGATTATTCTTAGCAGTAGATTACAGATGGATCCGTTTAAATGTCTGATGGTCGAGGTTCTCCGTCCAAACCTGATCCGACTGTGAAACAGAAGGAAAGTTTTTCACTAAAGTCTGGAAACGAAGAATAAAACCAGCTTAGCGTCACTGAACCCGAGTCTAACCACAGATGTTCTGGCCTCAGAGAACCCAGCAGGAGAACCCCTGGATGTTCTCAGTCTTCCAGGTCATCGTTCCAAAAACATCAAAATCAATCCGCTGGACTTTGTCTCCAAGTTTGAAGACGTTTCTCTTCCATCCAGGAAGATTTTTCAATTCAAAATGTCAGAAATCTGGAAACTGGCTTTTCTAGATGTTCTCATCCAATCGGACTGAGACAGAGAAGAACCTCAGACCTGCAGCCAGAGAAGGAGCTACTGAGCTCTGACTCGGGGCAGCAGGTCACTGATGGACGCCGCCGCTCGCAGTTAACGTATAAAACTGTTGAGAACCACGTTTCCTCCTCTTCATCATTGAAGTTCTGCTTCAAAGGCCTGTTCTTCACTCATTATGGACCCACAGATCAGAGAGGAACATCTGGAACATCTGTTTACCTGCAGAGACTCCAGGAAGCGGAAGGAGCCCAGCCGTCGACCGCGAGGAACCAGGCAGAAGGTGGAGTTATGGAGGAGCTCCTGGTAATCAAACCTGCGGAGAGGAGAGTAGAAGAGAGCTTCAGCTTTTCTTTCATCGCCGCCGTCAACCTGACGGTGTAACCATGGAAACAGAGTGATCCAGACGCATCTGACTGAAGCAGATCTACAAATTCAGTTTAGCCTGACAGACGAGGCTTTGCTCCTCCAACTGGTCAGCATCATGGAAACCAGTCAAACCAGTGTGACAAGATCTTTCATCAACGATCCAGAATGTTCAGAACCAGCAGCTCTAATCCGGCAGCACATCTGGCTCCATGTCTCTAATCTGGGATTAACAGCAAGGTGCGCCCAGCAGCAAATCCTGCCGCACATCTGTCACTGCAGAACATCATCATCATCTTCATCATCATCATCATCATCATCATCATCATCATATCCTGGATGCTCACAACAGTTTATTAACGCCTAAATTAACTTCAAACGTAGAAACCTGCCGGCAGAATATGTTGGCTTTTATTATCCTGCTGCCTGCAGTTTGTAGCACAGACCTGAAAAACGCTAACATCTACTTCCAGCCGCCACCAACAGGAGGGGCCGAGCAGAGAGGGCAAAAGTACTCACTTTCCGTACTTGAGTAAAAAATACTCTGGTAAAAGTGGAAGTAGTGATTAAACTTCTTTACTCAAGTAAAAGTAACAAAGTACAGGCTTGTAAATTTACTTAAAGTATAAAAGTAAAAGTAGAAACCACTTTTTTCATGCCGTTGCCTACATTTTAAATGGATGTCTGCCAATAGGACTAGATCTCCGTTGTGTTCATTTTCAATCATCTCGTCGTCCATGCTACTATGCTAACGCCACCGCCACCAAGCTGCAATGATTTGCCGCCAATGAATACCGCCGAATCTGTCGATTCATCTTGTAGTGGTGCGTCAAATGCAACGTAGATTCCCATCCAATTAGATTGAATTTGGTATTGATGACGTGAAAAATAATAACGGTAACTCCATTGAAATGATTCAAAACTAAAGTAACGAGACAATTTTTTTAAATGTAAGGAGTAGAAAGTACAGATATTTGTGTAAAAATGTAAGGAGTAGAAGTAAAAAGTCGCCATAAAAATAAGTAGTAAAGTAAAAATATCAGAAAAATCTACTTGAGTACAGTAACGAAGTATTTGTACTTCGTTACTTCCCATCTCTGGGGCCGAGCATCAGAGATGAAGCAGCAGAAGCTTCTCTGATGGCGTTTGATGTGAACGTAGCATCAGACTCTCTGATTGGTTGAATTAAAGGATGAAACATCATGAACCTAAAATGATGTCATGTCTTCCTGATCAAATGTCCACCTCTGGTCCAGCTCACCTCCTTCCATCATCAGGACTGAAGTAGCAATGGAACAAAGACTAAAGTTAGCTGCATGCTACCTCCACCTGCAGGACATAACCCCCCCACGCCACACAAAGACTAAAGATGTGATCCACCAAGGTGACACCCGATGGTTCTGCTACCCGCATGGACCCGTCAGAACCTCTTCCTCCATCATGTCAGAAGGAAGGTTGTGAGCTTCTGGACCTCCTCTTCATGGACAGAACCGTAGTTCTCAGTCTGGGAGGATGATACTTGTTTGCTCTTCCTCTGCAGAACCTCTAAATCTGCAGCCAGAGCAGAACCAGAACCTGCAGCGGGCTGGAACCCAGAACATCTGCTCCAAATGAGCGAAGCAGAGGAGCAGGCAGCGGTTCTGACCCATCAGCTGCTCCCCTGAAGGTGATCTTCACAACGACCCGTCCTGTTGGATCCGGCCCGCCTCGTGTGTCTGGGGCGACCCGATCCCTCTGCTGGCCGGCGCCTGCCGCCATTCCCAGCTGCTGCTCAGAATAGCCGCTCCAAGGACGCCGGGGGGAGGGATTACAGCAGCTGACCAACTTCAAACAGCAGCTACTCCTGCTGGAAAGGAGCTACTCCTGCAGAACCTTCTCCTTCATGGTTCCTCCTTCATGGTGTGACTCCTTCAGGGTGAGTCTGGGTCAGAACAGAACCAAACAGAAGGGACCTGGTTGGACAGTCGTTTCCTGTCCTGCTGTCAGTGACAGAGCCCCACAGAATGATGCTGCCTCCACCATGCTTCCAGCTGCCTCCTCTGACCAACGTCCTTCTGTTTCAGACCAGAGGAGGCAGGATCTTCTCTCCTGGTCTGTCTGTGGTTCCTGTTCACCTGAAGGGGGCAGCCTGGATCTTCTTCCAGGCCTTCAGAGCAACATGTTTCCACCTGGTCAGCAGAGATCAGGAGAAGCTTCAGCAGAGAGCTTCTGTCTGAAGGAGGAATCCCTCTGTGATGAAATGTGACGCCTGGTTCCTCAGAGGCCCTCATTCAGCTCCAGGCCTCCGTCAGACGGAGCGGCTCTCAGAGCAGGGAGGGGAACAGAGCAGGCAGTGTGCAGGGACTGGCCCGGCTCCAGGAACTCTCCAGAACATTCCTGGGAGAGACGGGCGGACGGCATCCTGCTAAACAAGCGCAGCAGCAACTGAAAACAGGAAGCAGCGGGTTGTGGAAGGAGATCCATCATATTAGCCAGATCTCTGCCCAGTTAATGGGTTTTCTGCTGCAGCTTAGAGCTCATCTCCTCGTTCTGCTGCTCAGTCGGGGAAAATCACAGCTTTAGCAAAGGTCAGGCCTTCTAACATTAAACCTTCTACATCAGGGGGGGGGGGGTCTCCTCCAGCAGGAACCAGCTGTCTGCAGCGAAACGTAAGAAGATGCTCTCTGAGCGCTTCTGTCAAGGGAAGCAGCTGTGAAGCTGGAATCGGTGATCAGGACGCACGTTTACACTCCCTTTGCCTCACATTTCACCACGACGTTCACGCTGATGGAAGCTGCAGGAGAATCTGCATCTCTGCAGAAAGCTGCTCCTGAAGGAGCTGAAAGTGGAGCAGAAACGCTGCAGATGTTCAGCTACAGAGGATCAACTGCAGCTGATAAACATCAGCTTTAAAGATCTCTGACTTCCTGTTTCCAAGCATCTGAGTTTCTATCTGAGGAGGCCTATCTATCGGATGAGTCCGATCGGATGAGTCCGATCGGATGAGTCCAATCGGGCAGAGCAGCCGTCATCTCAGGGATCCTCTGAGGCTCTCAGTGATGTCACTGCAAAACTCGCCGTTTACCAAACACTGATGAAAAACTCCACTTCAAAGAGGATGTGATGCAGCGATAATGACATTAGAATAGAATAAAATAGAATAGAATCAATTAGATTAGAAGAGAATAAATTCGATTAGAATAGAATAGAATAAATTAGATTAGATCATAATAGAATAGAATCAATTAGATTAGAATAGAATAGAATCAATTAGATTAGAATAGAATCAATTAGATTAGAAATCCCTTTATTGTCCCATAACGGGGAGATTCTGGTGTTTCCAGCAGCAAAAAGATAATAGAATAAAATCCTGGAGTCGAGCCTCTGGCAGCGTAGACCTCCTCCTGCCTGACCTGGCAGCGTAGACCTCCTCCTGCCTGACCTGGCAGCATAGACCTCCTCCTGCCTGACCTGGCAGCGCAGACCTCCTCCTGCCTGACCTGGCAGCATAGACCTCCTCCTGCCTGACCTGGCAGCGTAATCCTCCTCCTGCCTGACCTGGCAGCGCAGACCTCCTCCTGCCTGACCTGGCAGCGTAGACCTACTCCTGCCTGACCTGGCAGCGTAGACCTCCTCCTGCCTGACCTGGCAGCGTAGACCTCCTCCTGCCTGACCTGGCAGCATAGACCTCCTCCTGCCTGACCTGGCAGCGCAGACCTCCTCCTGCCTGACCTGGCAGCATAGACCTCCTCCTGCCTGACCTGGCAGCGCAGACCTCCTCCTGCCTGACCTGGCAGCATAGACCTCCTCCTGCCTGACCTGGCAGCGCAGACCTCCTCCTGCCTGACCTGGCAGCGTAGACCTCCTCCTGCCTGACCTGGCAGTGTAGACCTCCTCCTGCCTGACCTGGCAGCGTAGACCTCCTCCTGCCTGACCTGGCAGTGTAGACCTCCTCCTGCCTGACCTGGCAGCGTAGACCTCCTCCTGCCTGACCTGGCAGTGTAGACCTCCTCCTGCCTGACCTGGCAGCGTAGACCTCCTCCTGCCTGACCTGGCAGTGTAGACCTCCTCCTGCCTGACCTGGCAGCGTAGACCTCCTCCTGCCTGACCTGGCAGCGTAGACCTCCTCCTGCCTGACCTGGCAGTGTAGACCTCCTCCTGCCTGACCTGGCAGCATAGACCTCCTCCTGCCTGACCTGGCAGCATAGACCTCCTCCTGCCTGACCTGGCAGCATAGACCTCCTCCTGCCTGACCTGGCAGCGCAGACCTCCTCCTGCCTGACCTGGCAGCATAGACCTCCTCCTGCCTGACCTGGCAGCGCAGACCTCCTCCTGCCTGACCTGGCAGCATAGACCTCCTCCTGCCTGACCTGGCAGCGCAGACCTCCTCCTGCCTGACCTGGCAGCATAGACCTCCTCCTGCCTGACCTGGCAGCGCAGACCTCCTCCTGCCTGACCTGGCAGCATAGACCTCCTCCTGCCTGACCTGGCAGCGCAGACCTCCTCCTGCCTGACCTGGCAGCATAGACCTCCTCCTGCCTGACCTGGCAGCGCAGACCTCCTCCTGCCTGTCCTGGCAGCGCAGACCTCCTCCTGCCTGACCTCCATCAGACCGTCTACCTGCGATGGATGCAGCTATGGAGGACAGAGGATTCTAACCCGGCTTCGTTCTGGGACCCGGTTAGTCGCATCTATGACTCATCGTTCTGCTGGTTGCAAAGGTGTGAAGGTCACCATGGATGCAGCTGATGATGTCATCCGTGGAAATGGGTCATTAGAATCAATCTTCAGGCTCAACATTAAACTTTTAGGTAAGCAGGAAAAATACAAATTTTAAAGGAGATTAATAAATTAATTTAGATCAAACTGAGCTTTAAATGCTCATTAAAATACTAATAATTAAAGCTACGACATTCCTCTGATGTCAGACCTCTCAGATCGCTTCATGATAAAAAATAACCTCACTGTTAC